TGGGGAGCAGGGTTCTGAGAAGGGGTGGGGTCAGGCCAGGGTTCCAGCCCAGCTGTGCACCTGGGTGAGTCTCCAGCACTCGGGCAAATGGCAGTTTGTGCTTAATGATCTCCTAAAATGCACGCGTTGTCTTCATTACCCACCTGAAGGCCAAACATGCGTTGTCTCCTTTCTTGAGTTTTCATTTTTAAGAAATTATAATTTGTCTTCAAACTTTTTTTTATCTTTGGTTGTAATAGCAGGTAATGTGTCCCTCTGGCATCCACCCCTCCCCCACCATTTCCATCAGCAGAGGGAATTTGTAGATGGGCGGGGGTGCATGGCCTGTGTGCCTGCTGCCCGATAAGCTTTCATCCGTAGAGAGCAGTGAACTTTTACGTTAAAGTCTCGTCATTTTACCTCAATGTTAAGGAACAATTTTCTTATAATCTGTGCAAAAAAATGGCACCCAGATGTTAAAACATTAATGTTGAAATTCTGATTCAAGTACTACATTTTTACAAAAGCAAAGTCTTCTTCCAGTGATAAGATTATATTTATTTTCAAAACTACTTTAAGAAGGTGGGCAAATGTGTACAATTGGAAACCCTGCCGGGCCCGGGACACTCACCTGGAATTCCTTTCTCAGGGAAATAGTCTAGAATTTACTCTGAACATGGCCAATTCCATTTTAGTAGAGCAGGCTGCTTCATCCTTCCCCAGGTGGTAAGTAGGCTGTGCAAACCCCGGGTCTTCAGCGGAGGCGCGAGAATCTTGGTTTGACTGAAATCACAAAGGATTGGGTCCATTTCTACTCTTCTGAAATTCAGTTATTTTTAGAGAGTCTCAAAGAGTCAGTGCAAAAGGAGAGTATCTTTCCTTGGATTCTCAAATAGCAACTAGGGCAGTGCCCCCTGCACTGCGCCTCCCAGGGGTGTAATGCATTTCCCTCCGGAGAAAGATGAGAATAAGTCACCAACCAAAGAGAAACCAAAATAATTGGGACTCATTAGGAGAAGGTCAATCTAAACTTGGGTAATCTGTGAATTGTTTAATTAGAAAAAATCTAAGGAAGCTTTAGGCTTTGGCACTTTTAGCTGTGTAGAGTAACTCAGACGGAGGCCACTTGGGTCCTTGGGGTGTTTGCTTTAATGAATAAATTAAAAGTAGAATTAGCCACTCTATCTGTAAGGATGTTTTGGCTCTAAAGAACGGGAAACTTGAAGAGAAGTGACTTCAACAATCAGGAATATTTCTCAGGCCACGTCACTGAAGGACTTGAGCCTTCTGTGTGGGAGAGGCTCTGGGGTTGGCCCCCTCGAGCCTCAGGGTATGGCTGGGCACCCCATTCTTCCACTGCCTCCCTCCGCACCTTCGCCTTTGGCCTTGGGCTTGTCTCCTCGTGATCTCGAGGTGGCATGTCCGCTATGGCTGGCACACTGAGACGTGGAGTGCTGGGGAGAGGAGAGAGACTGCACCGTTTAAACAGCGGGGAAAGGCTTTCCCAGGGACCCCTCTGAAAGCTGCCGTGTGTCTATGCCTGTCTTGTCCCTAGCCAGGGAGAGGCGATTGACCTCTGGTGGTTTAGAGGAATCAACCTTTACTTCTTGTGTCTGGAAAGGGGTTCAGGTTCCCCTGAAATGTATGAATAGTATTTGAAAAAAGTTTGAATTTTTGAATTTTTTTTTTTTTTT